CGCACACACGCACGCGAGCGGAAACGCACACACACACACACACACACACACACACACACACACACACATATATATATATATATATATCTTAGTATGTACTGAAAAATACTAGAGGAAGTAGAAACCTTTTTAAAAATATATTTGGTCAGATTTGGTGAACAGGGCCGGCATTTTGAACAAAGGCTCTCGTCAAATATCCACGCGATATTCGACTTTCTTCAGTTTTGAGGAGTACCGCACACACTCATACACACACACTCACACACGTATACCTGCGCTTATGCATACATTCATATATATATATATATATATATATATATATATATATATATATATATATATATATATGTATGTATGTATGTGTGTCTGTTTCATAATATCTATATGCCTATAGACATATACATATGCGTACACAGATGGCCACATACACCCACACACACATGCACATGTATGCACACACTGGCATACACGTAAGCATAAGCTTACACCCCCACGCACACACACACATATATATATATATATATATATATATATATATATATATATATATATATATATATATGCATGTTTGAGAAAACAAATTGATTTGCGTACACAGATGGCCACACACACATAAACATGTACAACCAAAGAAAGATACGAGAAATTTGAATGGTAGTCGCTGACTAAACGTACGAATTTCCGGTTTCTACTTTGACGTAGCGACTGACTTCAGAAAAGAGATAAAAGATTTTTTCCACGTCTTACCAGATGTCAAGAAATTTACTTCAGGAAAGTTTTTTTTTCTTTTTTCTTTTTTCTTTTTTCTTTTTTTTTTGCTATAGGAAGATGAGGCAAAATGACGAGGATATCTGTTTTTTTTTGTTGTTTTTTTTTTTGCTTCGTCATTCCTGATATTCGAACGGCGAACATGAACTCTAATTCAAAGTTCGGTCAGTTATATATATATATATATATATATATATATATATATATATATATATATAAGAGTGAACACTAAAATTAGTCCCACTATTGAACGCTCTATCCCTAATATTGAAAACCCAAAAATATAACATACCTTAAAATTGTATTTTTATCATCTATATAATAAATGCGTATGTCGGTGTGTCACACGTTTTGAACTTTACTCATAGAGGTCATAGCCCAACATGTCATACCATTTTGGAATCAGGCCGATTCCAAGAGTAAATTAAAAATTTCACGGGGCGGATTAATTCTGAGTTTTTCGGTAGTTTATTGTTGCCTACCCCATACGAGAGCAGTATGCCTCGCAAAAAGAAATCTCGGCCAACAGAGGACCAGATTCCAATAAAAAGAGTCAAGGCTGCAGCGAGGAAAAGAAAGGCACGTGCAAATAAAAACCCAGAACAAATGGCAGCCAGGAGAGCTTCCAATGCTGAGAATATGCAAAGACATAGGGACTCACAAACTCTTGAACAAGCCGATGGGCCAATCAAGAGCGCTCCGTAGGAGCTCGTTTAAATGCCGCCCGATAAGGCGGCTTTTATATAATATATATATATATATATATATATATATTGTCATCCACGGACAGACTGTTTCGCTGTATCACAGCTCCTCAGTGTTACTAGACGTCCGGTTGCCTCTAGGTAGAATCGAAACCCGAAGCTGAATTGTCGCACGACAGGGATGAAGGTGAATTTAAGCATATTTATATTTAGATAGACACACACCGACTGACAGAACTCGAGTCGCTTTACTGAAAAGTCTGGCATTATTAATCTTAACACCAAAAAACTGATTAGAGGAATGGAAATTCAAATATGTATCTGTAAGGCGAGCCTCGTAATGGTAATAAGTTGTCACTGAAGAACTGAAGGGAGCGATGGAGGTTCATTCAGAATTAAAAACTCGGCTGTTGGGAACACAGTACGGTAGTAGCCCATCAAATAGTGAGGATACATCTAGTACAAATTGACAAAGGAAAGAAAATGTAAAAGTAAGTAGCCCATGATTTCATTGATTATCAACAGCTTCGTACATTTGTTTCTTTCTTCTTTATGGCGTACGTAACGTTGATGAAATAATTGGAAACGTTGTTTTCTTTGAATTAACAAGCTTTCTCTTTCTTTAATCTTCTCAAATTCAAATCTTTATCCCCTAAAAGTTTCTCTTGACCATCTAGTGATGCTGGCATTACAGTCTCCTGTTACCTGATCAAACCATCAAGGCAGACTTCTCTTGTCATGATTTGAAATGAATGCATCAAAAGTGGCAAATAATTTGATCGGTAATGGTGAACTACAGTAATAAATCACAAGATTTCTACTTCACAAATCACTCACATCAAAAATTGATGCAATTAAGCAATTAGATCCTTCCCTCCCGACCACCACCAAACTGTCCAATACAAATTATCACATTTTTTTTTTTAACCTTACTTCCATTTCTACTTCAGCCAATGTGCACTGATGTGGACGAGATAGAAAAATATACCTTCCATTTGCTTGTGAATTCGCATAACGTCAGTTTTTAATGTGATGGAATAAATTAACTTTCTGGCCCTTGTATCAGTCCAATCGTGTCTATTATGCGTTTGGGTTGAATTATGATGTTTTCAAGTTTCTGGTTTAAAATTTCAATTGTTTTGTTTCGATCTGATACATCTTTGTGCATGCGTGTGTAGAGGGCAAAGGTCGAATAAAAATGAAGAGGATTGTATTAATGAACTTGAAATTTTCAGTAGAAAAAAAATTGTTTTTACTAATTGCCACATCTCGGGGTCATTAGGATCGAGTTAGATTGAAAGTAGTAAAATCGAACAAATCCCAAGAGAAAATCCTAAATGAAATTTATTCACATAATAGGTTGAGTCAAAAGTAGGAATATATCATGCCAATTACTAATCATAAATGGCAGTTAAGAATAATTTTGTATGGATTAACATACCTTTGTTTTTCTATAGTAGTGACAGTGTACACTGTGCAATACGGGAAAAATATTATTTTCCTACATGACAACGCAAAGCCGCATACGGCAAGAATGAACACAGGAAACTATTTTGGAATTCGGCTGGTCTGTTCTGCCTGACAGGCTATCTGCGCCTAACTTTGTACCAACGGATTATTATCTTTTTCGATCGTTGCAAAACACTTTGGGGGGGGGGAAGCTTTCTCTAACGAAAACCCGATTCAAGAGTTTTATGCGAAATTATATTCAAAAGGTTTTGATTATTTTTCCTGATTTTGTGGCAAAAGTCATTACAAATAATGATGAATAATACAGGGTATCCACCCCCCCAACAAAAAAAAGTAGAAAGGGGGAATACAGACCTGTTCTTTCACATAGTCCCCTAGAAAAAAGTTTTCAAGTCAGGTGAACGTGGGGTCATTTGAGCGAGAATTGACTATGTTATTAAACTACAAATTGATGCCAATTTAGGGGGGACACCATATATATATATATATATATATATATATATATATATATATATATACTTCTCACATAACACAGTATAGGAAAGATAAATATATTACACTATTTACATTTAGTTCAGGGTTCAGTTCGACATTCCAACCACCTGAAGAAGGCCGGAGCGTACGATGGCCGAGACGTTGTAATAAATATCGCGACAAAGATGATGACAATAGTCCGAATAATGTAAATAGTGTACATAATACCTCATCTCAGAAATATAGACAGTTACTGAAAATATATTAATAATCCTCATTACCACAAAAATTATCCTATCTATAAAAATGTCTAAAACATGAGAAATATTAGCTAAAATCCCCCAGGGAAAGCAACACTGGATAATTTCACAACACACTCAGTTCTCACAAAGAAAACTTGTAATATATGAGTAATTATATGTCCCAAGCAAACAAAATTAAATAAGCTTCATGCTGATCAATATAAGATTCATTTATCAAAGTTCGAACAAGATAGTCAAAGCGATGTAAATTTCACAATGCTTCACAAAAGTTTAATATACGCACCACCAGTGACACGACACCCGTTAAATCGATAACCCAGCTCCTGCCAAACACGCTGCAGCATGTCTTGCGTAACATTCTCCAGCGCCTCAGTGATTCTCTGCTTAAGTTCCTCTAGGCTTGTAGGAAGAGGGGTGATATAGACCTGTCTTTTCACATAGTCCCATAGGAATAAAATCACAAGGTGTCAAATGAGGTAAACGTGGTGGCCATTTCAATAGCTCATTGTCATTATCACCGTCACACCCGATCCATCTTTTCTGGTAGATTCTCATTGATATATGTTCGCACAGTCAACTTAGTTTCTACACATTTTGTTAAAATTTGAGATCCTTTTGAGCGTGGAGGCACGGTGGATAGCGGCTTGGATTGAGGAATCGGAGAGCCGAGTTCGAATTCCAGTCGAATCCATTTCACTTACATGCTAATACCCTTGCATAGGGTCTAGGAGAAGGACAACTCTGAATTCAAACCCGGAGTGGAGCCCCTAAAGCGGATGAACGGTACTTTGTGCTACCTTCCGGCAACTCCTGCAGCAGCGTTGGTACCAAACTGTATTGGTTTATCATCTCCTTTGGACTCTGCTAGCAGGGCCGAGAGGGGGAACTAGATGTCTGGGCAGCCCTAGTTCTCCATATATCCCTCCCAGGCTCGTAGCACACCACGCTACTCCATCGTCTCTCGAGACGGACGGATGCCGACGACGATTAGACTATAGAATGATGTCAGTTTTTTTTTTTTGGTGGGGGGGAGTGTACCCAGGATATAAGAAATAATTGAATTGAATGTAATTTGCTTTTGGAAGAATAATACTGATAAACATTTATTTTAATATTTATAACCCTAAAATGAAGATACCCATGTATTTATCTCTCTTTATAAGAAGTTGCCAAAAAATGAATTTTAAAGTAACTCATGGAAGGTTCTAGTATGTTAACCTCTGTTGTTATGATTAATAGCATTAGCAGTGACGTGGAAGATGGCTAGGTGACCATTTTTCTCTCCCGTCATGCTTTGCGACTTTTCCAATTTTACTGAATGTCATGACCCGATATGTGAAGAGGAAAAGAAATATGTATTTATGTAAAAGTAGAGAAGAGAAAAATCTCCTGAGGAGGAAACAAATAAACAACTTAAAAACAAAAGAAGAAAAAAATGAAAGAAAGGAAAAAGAAACTGAACATAGAAAAAAGGACATTTCCACAAATGAACAAAACTCAATGTTAATATTAATTGGTTAATACTAGTTGGATAATACTAATTGCGTGATGCTAGTTGTGTAATACTAGTTGGGAAACACTACTTGAGTAATACTAAGTGGGTAATACTAATTGGGTGATACTCGATCAGTGATAGTATTTGGGTGATATTAATCCGTTTAAACAAGTCACGTAATATGTTGGTTAATACTAATTAGGTAATACTAAATGAATACTAGTAGTTGTGTAATACTAGTTGGATAATATTAGTTGGGCAATACTTGTTGGGTAATACTAATTGGTTAATACTATTTGGGTATTACTAATTGGGTCATACTAATTGTCTATTGCTAGTAGCGGGATACTATTTGGGTAATACTAATTAGGTAATACTAGTTGCATAATACTAGTTGTGTAATACTACTTGGTTAATACTAGTTGTGTAAAACTCGATGGGTACTATTATTTGGGTAATACTAATTGAGTAATAGTAGTTGGGTAATACTAGTTCTGTAATGCTAGTTGGGTATTACTAGTTGTGTAGCACTAGTTGGTTAATACCAGTTGCATAATATTAATTGGTTAATACTAATTAGAAAATGATTTTTACTTGTTGACGAATTTGAGGGAGTGGTTAAAGAGATTTCGTAAAGCCAGAGGAAACTGTGTCCACCACTGCCTGAAGACTTTGCTTTTATTTGACTGACTTAAACACTGATCAGAAATTGTAGAGATTAGCTCGCCAATGATCAACTTTTTACAGAAAGTGAGTAATTTAACACATGTCAGCACCCAGCAGAGATTGAAACCGCAATTAGCAACTTTGCATGCCAGATTGCTTTTAGGTTCTACTATAGCTTCGTCTTTGGGACATAAAAATATATTTGTGCTGGATTTTAGAAGTAAGTGTGTATACTAGAGTACATATGTTTGTGTAGATAGGTTCGCCTATCGTCTGGTTCATACCCTTCCACAGTGTTTTGAACAGGAATATAGATTTATCCCTTGTTTCCAGTTTAGGGATAGTTGTAAGATTCCTTGACTGGCGGAGAGGTCATCTGATGGCATCAATGGCTACTTGTCAGTAACCAAAGGCGAACCTTCAAGTTGCACGATATCGGCTTGGCAACGTCTACTTGTCCAAGACCCGATACGCATCTGCGGCTCTCAACCCAGATGTGTGTTGAGGGGGACTTGTCAGGTGCTCAGCAATGCAGCGACCCTACACGACCGCGTACGGTCATGGGACTTGGGATGAAGATGATAATGATGGGATCGAATGCACAGGAATAGTCATATATAGAAAGATTCGAAAAGCGTCATTTTCCCTTCTTCAGTTGTTTAGAGAGACATAACAGCGTCCAAAGAGAAAATATTATTTTGTTTTCTCAGTGACTCGAGATATAGTTTTAGATAGATAGATAGAAAGAAAGCAAGCAAGCATTGGACGATAGATAGATAGATAGATAGATAGATAGATAGATAGATAGATAGATAGATAGATAGATAGATGATATGAAGAGACTAGAATAGATAGAAAGCATTAGACTGAAATAGCATTATAGATAGATAGATAAAATTAGATTGAGATAGATAGAGAGATAGAAAGAAAGAATTAGACTGAGATAGATAGATAGATAGATAGATAGATAGATAGATAGATAGATAGATATAAGTGAACTTAGATAGATAGATAGATAGATAGATAGATAGATAGATAGATAGATAGATAGATAGAAAGTATTAGACTGAAATAGCATTATAGATAGATAGATAGATAGATAGATAGATAGATAGATAGATAGATAGATTTGTTGGGCGTGTGAGATCACTGTAAATAAAGCAAAAGAGAAAAATGAAATAAATATACGAATATTTTGGAGAAAAGAAAGAATTGATTTTTTTTTTTTGAATGCTAAAGTGGACGTAAGATTGGATGAATGAAATTCTAAAAGAGTCTGTTGAGTCGGAAAATAGAATGCATTGAAAAATACAGCAAAGTTGATGGCGAAGAATGGTTTGGGCAGCGAAATCTGAGAATGCAGGAATAAACAATGATACAAAAGAAAAACCGCTTCTTTTTTTTTGTTAGCACCGAAGGCATTTTAAACGAAAATCTGTGGTAATGATGCTAAAAGAATTCGCAAACAAATGCGTTTCTGATCGAACGAGTGGTGAAATATTGCGGAAGCAAAAAAAATGATGAAAGCTGGAAAAACTTGATATAAATCTCAACCACGTTTGGTAAACATGCCTTTTGTGTAGTAATTTATTTAATTATATCCTTAGAGACACACATCGACATAAATGCACAATTCCACAGATACGTGGATGTACAGAACGAAAGTAACCGTGGCAGACATTATTGAACACGTGATCAATATTCAACAAAAATATCATTAATTACGTTTAATATTTCCTGGTTTTAGCTATATATTATTCAGATGATGAAAATTACTCTCAAAACGTTCTTCTTTAATTAGGCAAAAAGGTATATTTTAAATATTTCAATGATTATTTACATCATCAATAAATGTAATAATATTGAGGATTATCTGAAAACAATAAGCGTGTTTTACAGCATCATTCTTATTACTTTAGGTCTTCAATTGTCTGATGAACAAGCTGTGAGAATCTATATAGATTTATGTATGCGAGATATCTTAAAATAACAGTATATGTATATATATTGTCATCTACAGACAGACTGTTTCTCTGTATCACAGCTAATCAGTGTGTCTAGACTCCGGTTGCCTCTAGCTAGGATCGAAACCCGACTGAATTGGCTTCAGTCGGGAATTCTACCCCTAATGAAGGTGTATTTATGATTGGATAAACACACAGTGACTGAGAAAATTCAATTCGTTTTACCGAAGAGTCTTGCATTATTAGCCGTAATAGTCACTGTTTACAAAATCACACTTCCTCCGCAGTGAGCTAAACCAAAATAAATTTTTCAGGAGCATATATATTTGTATAACATATATATATATATATATATATATATATATATATATATATATATATATATATATAGGGGTTTAAGACATGTGTAGATAAAAATTGTAAAATAAGGACCTAATTTTCTGCTAGTGACATCTCATCCAAATCTCTCCTCTAATATTCTCCAATTGGAAGTGAGTTTTAAATAGCACGAAGGTAGAGTTTAAATTGGTATTTTAATTTAGATTGAAATATACTACTCCATTATTGATGATAAAATTATTTAAATGGGAATAACCGTTGATAATTGGGTACATAAAAACAATCACGAGTTTACTTAATGAACAAAAATCAAAAACAATCACGAGTTTACTTAATGAACAAAAATCAAACGAATAGATGTCAACCTAACAAGCAATAAGATAAAAGTTTTAGCAGAATAAAAAAGATTACTAAATATAAAATGGATTACTCTTTCAATGTACTGTCTATGAATTTTTCCAATCGACTGTTTCATAGAAAATACCCAAAACTCCACCGAATTTCAAATTAATTTCTTCGTAGATTGTTTAGACTTTTAGATATTTATCAAACTTTAACCTCCCAAATATGCACGTTAAAGTAACACAAATTAACAGCGTCTAAGAATTTGAATGAAACCTGTCGTGTAATTGATTGGGGTTGTTGTAGCTTTTTCCTTTAATGTCGGTCTTATATCTAGAGACCAGACGCGTTAAATTTGAGCAACATCTAGCCGACACACTGGGGTTAAAAATAGGAAATTGAAATGATACATATGACACAATCATATCCTCTCTCCCACCTCACTTCCTCGCTTCGTTAATTTTATGTATACTTGATGAGGTCCGTAAAAAACGTGTGAATTTCTTTTCATTTTTCATTTCAGCTTTTGGAAGTAAACTCTGATGATCCAGAACCCTGTTAAAGGGGTTATGGTGAAATAGCTTATTGCATGGAATCTTAACGTGGTCTGTCTTTTATTCAAATATATCTGCTCTGAATTTTACATTGAGCTCTCTGGATATCATCCTCCTCAGGTCTACCCATACGGATTACCTAAGTTTGCATAAACTAATATATATATATATATATATATATATATATATATATATATATATATATATATATATATATATATATAGATTTACAAAATAATATTAATAAATATATATCATGTATATAGTAGAGATTTACCTGTGTACGTTGCTGGATATCAATAATGATTTCAACTCAAACTTTTTCCACATGAAACAGAAACGGAAAAGAGAGACAGGTAGTGGGGGAAAATAACAAAATTTCAACTGAATACATATATATATATATATATATATATATATATATATATATATATATATATATATATATAAGGGTTTAAAATGACAATTGGAAAAAAATTCTTAGTTTTTGCCGACGCGTTTCATCTTCGACTTTATCAAAGCAATATATTACATTTAAGATTTAAGAAATAACAGATATTTTTATACATAGTGTTCAATATTGAAAATATTAAATTAATATTAAAAATAGAGCATTAATAATATTATATAAAAATATTACTTAACTTTAAATATCAATTTTTTGTTGTTTTACCCGACTTCAAAGTTTCTTTGTAATATCTATTTTTCAATGGGTCTTGTTTTGTTTTTTAAAATGATGTTTGCGACTTTTTCAAATTCTTCGGCATCTATTTTCAATCCATGTTGGACACGTGTTGCATTCATGAATTTAACGTTCTTTTATAAGCACATATTCATGAATTTTGCTTTTGTTTACGTCTTCCTTTTTTGATTTGTAGATTTTTCTTCTAGTTGTAAATTTTTCTTCGAAATTAAATTATTTTTTATGATTTATATTGAAGTTATGTTATATTATTAATTAAATTGTAATATTTGTTAATTTTTATTATTAATTAAATTATATTTTATTTCATTTATTATGTTATTTTAATATTAAAGTAACAAAGTAAATATTTGTTAAAATGTCGGCATCGACCCATTATCTTGTTCTTATTTTAATAAGATTTTAATAATTTAATTTGATTATTAAAAGTTAATATTGATTATTTTTCAAATTTAATAATTTATATTTGATATTTAATAATTTAATAATTTAATATTTAATAATTTAATTTGATTATTAAAAGTTAATATTGATATTAATTATTAATTATATTAATTATATTAATTATTAATTTATTAATATTATTAATAATATTAATTTATTATTAATATTATTAATAATATTAATTTATTATTAATATTATTAATAATATTAATTTATTAATATTATATTAATTATATTAATTATTTAATTTGATTATTAAAAGTTAATATTGATAATTTTTCTTCTAAACACAGTCTACAGTTCCTATTGATAATATTATATGGGTGTACTTTTTTTATAATTTCCCATTTAACTTTAGTATGTATATTATTTTCTTTTTGATTCATTATCATAAAATACATGGAGTCAGGAATATGACAAATAATATTAATCATTACAATACATCATCTCAGAAATATAAAAAGATGTTTAATTTATTTGTCTGAATTTATTCATCAAGTGTATATCGATCCGGAAAAGGGAATTTTTGAACTGAACCATTTATTTAATCTACGGGGATAGGTTGTTCTCTGTTATTATATTATAATGTTTTTTCATTTTGTATTGTTCAAGTACACACAATTACTGTCACCAAATTCACGAATCAACACTTTAATCCACTAGGCTATTGTCTCGTAGGACAATTCTGTATTGATAACTTGGAGCTATAAATCTAACCTGCCTGCTGATTAGTGATGTTGTTTATCATAACTGCACTTACTGAAGCTTCTCTTTTGTTACAGCTGCTGCTGCCTTTGAAGACCTGCAGTCATCTGTCTTTCTTTCTTTATTGGCGGCTCCCAATTTGTATTTATTTCTATGCTAGGCCAACTAATGAGGTTCTCGCAGCCTAAGATATACCCAGATTCTTTCAGACGTCAAACTCTTTGATGTTCTTCCTTGTTCAGTATTTTCACTTCATTCCACAGGGTTTGATGAGTACCCTTTTCCCGCTATACATGATCAGTCATGAGTGATTTCATTATCGCTTCCATCTGTTACGGCTTTTCAATGTTCCTCCAGCCATTCTTTTAGTGGAAGGATAGTTTCACCTTTACATTCTTTATGATAACTGCAAGAAGTAGAGTATATACAGTTCTTGGTCATATTTTTCTCCATATTAGGAATTGACTCAGCAGAGATTTCTCCGTAGTGTGGCGCTATTTCTGAATATTGTCCTGATGTTGTATGGACTACAGATCTTATGAATATTTTTCCGGTAAGCCCTTGACGTAAAGCAGGCAGAACCGTAGCATTGTCTGGTTTTCTTTTTTACCCCATACACCGCCGCTGCTGTTTATAGTTCTAGGATTGTTGTTATTCTGAAGGGTAGACTTCTTACTGATCATTTAATGTTGGTATTTGTCTGGGTCACCACTTATGACTTTTGCACGTTTTTTTTTTGTCGTTGTAAGTATCGGACAGTTCCTTTCTTCACACAGTATGGATGGTTGGAATTGGAGTCGAGTTATTGTCCGGTGAAGGTTAACGTGATATATGCCGCCATAGTTTATATATCGCTTCAACTTAAATTGTGTTATTCATAACTTCAGAAAAGTCACCTACTTGATATACACATATCTTTTTATGATGAGAGGTGGGCCATTTTTTTTTTTAAAGTTAACAAACAAATAAGCCTACTAGGAAATCCCTGTAACGTATTCAAAGATGCAGCTGCAACAATCATTAAACAACCTGAAGTAGAAATCTTATTGCGTGCAGGAAGCTCTTCTCAATTTTTTGCTTGTCAATTTAATCATGCCA